TTCGAGTCGAGCGAAACCTAATGGAACGGTAAACCTACCATAGGGCAGCTGCCAATGCTACGACGGCCGGGAAACCAAGTCCCACACTCAAGCCGATGATCAGTTTGTGGTTGTTGGAATGGGAGTTGTTGTGGTCTCGGTCATCATCAGTATTGGGATGGGCGTTACTAGTGGCGGTCGCAGTGGGGGGAACGTAGGATACAGGTGTTCCAGATGTAGAACCCAGTCGGCGAGCATTACTTCCAAAAGGGATAGCACTGGTCAAGGATGAGAAGGTGCTTGCAGGGTATGTGGCGTCTATGCCCGATTCGACTGTGAGAACAGTCGTCATAGTGCTCTTCACCGATGTCGTACGCTGGAGATACACAGGGCAGTTGATGAGCCCTTGAGATGTACAGTCAACAATAGTATACGTCGTTGAGGTAGATACTGTAGTAGTGACGAGATCGTTTCGCTGTCCAAGGGTGGCAGAGGGTGTTATGGTCGCCGGAGATTTTTTATAGCCGGCACAAATACTATCCAGCGTTGTATAGAACACTGGCACGGTGGTGTTGGGCGTGGGGCCCCATTGGTATGTATCAACAGCAACTGTCGCCCCCGCAGCAGCACCCACAGCAAGCGTGTACTCTGCAACCGCTTCAAAGCCGCAGTGGGAATCATTGCTAGTAGAAGCGTCGATCTGCAACAGGAAGTCGGCCACATACGCAGACACCTCCCCTCCAATACCTGCACTAAAGCTGAGATACTCGAACACGGAGACCGAGTTTGGGGTTGATATCTGGAAACCAATACTCGTTTGGACCTGTAAGAGGGCCCGGAGGGTTCCATGGCCTTGGACGGTTACTGGAAGAAATTCCATCCGCCCACCGGGTCTACGACATGTCAATTAGTGTTGGTCACCCGGGAAGAAAAGCCCACCTCGCCTAGGGCCTCAGCTTGTGATAGAGACTAACTCACACGGTGATACTCGAAACATTGTTGTTGAACAACTCCAGAGCCAGCGTTAAACCATCTTCCAGCTTGATGTGGATTCCACTGCTAATGTCGATTTCCGCTTGGGCTATTAGAACAAGCGAAACCTGGAATATAGCACCGGCCTCAAGACTAGATATCGATATTCCTGCTGGGGTCTCGGAAGTGAAGAGGTCTAGTGTGTAGGTAGCTCCGGTCGACAGCTGAAGATCCAAGTCCAGATAGAGCTCCAAGCTATCGAACTCGACCTGTGCATGTACTCCCGGAAATCCATTTGCCTCATCCAGATCAAAGTTAAGATCCAATGTCGGCCAAGCGGGGATATCGATCAATTGGAACTGGGAGACATCCTCGAGAATATCGCGGGCGGCTTCACGCGCGAAATCTTCTAGCTGAGAAAGTGCAGAATCTGTGACATTCGCAATATCTGCCTCGGCGCTATCCACGACCGTGGTGACATTGAACCCATCCTCGACTGTCAAATAGCCACCAACAGTACCATTTATATAGCAGGCTTTGCAGACAATTTCCAGGCCAGATTGCAGGCCTACGGTCCCGTTTTTTGGCCCAACAGAAGTTTCCGTGCTAGGATAAGAGCGTCAAAATTAGTGTTTGTACTTTGCATTAAGGAGCAAGCGGAGTTGATTTAATTACCTTGCTCCGATGGAAAATATAGTAGCATTTGCCCAACTCTTTGTCAACAGAGTCTGGTTCATCGCGTATGTCGTCCCTCTAGCCTCGTGTAGAGCCCGTCTAATGGCGATGGTGGCGTCTTTGTCAGCATTGGTGTGAGCTTGCAATGGGGCGTATTTACCCCCCAATGCGCGCACGATGTATAAGAATTGCAGGCAGATGAGCCCAAAGATGCTTTTGGTCATCATGCTGAATCTATTAGATTGCTAATCTTCATTTGCTATCTGAACATGGAGGCAGGCGAGTGATTGTTCAAATAGTTGGCTGCTTCGCGCAGCCTTGTGCCGCACCGCAAAGGGGCAAAGGTGGTAACACAGAAAACAGTTGTATCACAGCCCCCTTAATACATTTAGTGGGCAAAATGATGGCGCAGCTTGCCTGCATTAGCGCTGTAATCGGCCGAAATGTAACTTTCGGGAGCTGAAATTGGGGTCGCGATGGCTTTCGATGGATCGTATGCGGTAGAGAATATTACCTGGATCTGTTACTCTAGCACCATGATGAGTGTGGAATTATTATAGCCTAGGTTCACTGGCAGAATGTGGCCTCAGAAGAGAAAAAAAAAGGAAAGATATTATGCTGACAGGCATATTCCCATTAGACTTATGGGTTGTCTGGGAAGGAATAGGACAAGGCTAATTTGGCGCTACCCTTCCTAGCGGCGGACGGGCCTTCGTGTCGAGGTTTCTGTGCCTCCCTCTCATATCGCTTGTGTTACTTTTGGAATGGCCTCCGCTTTGGTACCTTGAAGATGAACTTATTCTTAGAGAAGACGTCCGGTCAATCGTAGACTATATGTACAGATCGTGGCAGAAGATACGCGAGGAGCTGCTAATAGAGTTGAGATAGTTTGTGCTAATACTTAGATCTGTATATTGCTATCATCAGTATCGACCAATCAAGGTAACCAAAATGAGAAAAGATGGAAATAACCTAGGGTAATTTGTGTGTGTGTGAGGTGCTATAGTGATAAATAGTGTTCCAGGCCTATGTCAATCTTGTATATTAAGTAGATAGACTGGTTCTATAGCTTCCCAGACTATCTCCAGTGTTTCTCTTAGCTCGAACTTCCGAAGGGCTATTAATTGTGATGAATAGTATTCACCTAGAGGAGAATGGCAGCAGATCCATGTCTGTCGAAGAAAAGGGATAGTCATTATCGGGGGAACGCCGGTTGTTGGTATTCCCCGCACTTTCGGCCTGATCTCCGACCTCGGAACAGATACAGTATCACCGTTCCTACGGGAGGTACGCTCTACTAGATATCAGGACTTTCGCACCTGCGCTGGTAATTACTCACTCATATCCAATAGGCTACGAACACCATGTCGGATTCAAGAAACTACAACATTCTTGTCCTCCCAGGAGATGGGATCGGTCCGGAGGTCATGGCCGAAGCCATAAAGGTCCTGCGAACCTTCAACACTGCCTCAGTCCTGTTCCATCTGCAAGAAGAACTTATTGGCGGCATATCTATCGATACCTATGGCCAATCCGTTACACAGCCGGTAAAAGATGCCGCAGTTGCTGCAGACGCCGTCCTTTTCGCCGCGGTTGGGGGTCCAAAGTGGGATCACATCAGGCGCGGACTTGACGGCCCAGAGGGGGGTCTATTACAGTTACGCAAGATCATGGATATCTATGCAAACTTGCGACCGTGCTCTGTGGAAGTTCCAAGCCGTGAAATTGCTAGGGACTTTTCACCGTTCAGACAGGAGGTGATCGAGGGGGTCGATTTTGTAGTGGTGCGAGAGAATTGTGGAGGCGCCTATTTTGGCAGAAAAGTTGAGGAGGACAATTACGGTAAATCTGAACCCGCTGAGTGGGAAGTAAAAGGCGGCTAATGTTTATTCTGTAACACGAGTGCAGCAATGGATGAGTGGGGCTACTCCAAGATTGAGATTCAACGCATTGCTCGTCTCGCTGCAGAGCTTGCCCTGCGGCATGACCCACCATGGCCCGTGATTTCTCTTGACAAAGCCAATGTCTTAGCATCATCACGTCTGTGGCGCCGTGTTGTCGAGGAAACCCTTTCAACAGAGTATCCACAGGTGAGGTTAATCCACCAGCTCGCGGATTCAGCATCATTGATCATGGCTACCGAGCCCCGAGTCCTCAACGGTGTGATTCTGGCGGACAATACCTTTGGTGACATGATATCGGACCAGGCGGGGTCACTAGTTGGAACACTAGGTGTCCTGCCCAGTGCTAGCTTGGATGGTCTTCCTCATCCCGGTAAGAAGGAAAAGGTTCGCGGTCTATATGAACCAACACATGGCTCCGCTCCGACGTAAGTGTTCTTTGATATCCTGTTTCTCCTATTGCTAATAGCTTGAAGAATAGCCGGCAAGAACATCGCAAACCCAACTGCGATGATCCTCTGTGTGAGCCTCATGTTTCGATACTCTTTCAACATGGAGATCGAAGCGCGCCAGATTGAAGATGCCGTGCGAGCTGTTCTGGACAAGGGCATCCGCACTCCTGATCTCGGGGGCAAATCAGGCACTAAAGAGTTTGGTGACGCCGTAGTCGCTGCATTGAGAGGGAAATATCAGACCTGAAGCGTTATACATAGAGTTGCTAGAAGTATCATATGTGTTGATTTTCTATGATATGTTAGCGGTCATATGAACACTAGAAGAATGTCTTGAGTGGCCAAATGAATATCGTTAGCAACATTTTCCTATATGTAGTTGGCCTTTGCCGTCCTGTGGTGAGCGGGCCGTCTTGATGGACAAGTGGTTGAAACATGATAACCTGTCTTTGGGGCTATATTGTTACTTGATGAGTACCGCGACATTCGATGTCTAACTTTGGCTCTCATTCTTATTGTTTGACCTAGACTGTGGAGATAAACCGACCCGGTGGTGTGAATCACGACGATGCTTCGGTAGTGGGAAGCTGTTTTTTGATGAATTATCTTTCTCCCCCTAAACACATACGATCAGGTAAATAAATATACAACCTTCTTAGAAGTTTCCTGCAATTGTTAATGTGATTGAGATGGCATTGCATCTTCCTGGGGCTGCGATCCTTTCGAGATATTACGGTTAATGAGAGTTATGATGAACCATGGTTTCACAGACGGGTGAACTTCAACATCCACTTATATGGTGTTTGCGGAACGGTTGGGTTCTTAATCTGGCGAGCAGATGACCCTATTAGTAAGGGCACAGACGTCATGATTACTTATACCTGATTATGACCGGGGTGCCCCATCCCTCTCTCTCTCTTGAATCCTGCAAGCTGCATAACAACGTCTGAAAATGCAGGTGCCCTTTCCTTAGTATTCCTCCTTATATCGGCAGATCGGCAAACTAATAGTGGCTTCTACTAGATCCAAGCAACGAATGAGCTACCGAAGTGCGGTGCTTACCACGCATCCCACAAATAACAGGAAACGAAGCAAAGCCGGGTGCTATACGTCGTACACGCGATAATCTTGTTGAAATCATCGATACCCCAGTACGATATTTGTAAAATGGAGGCAAAGAAGAATCTCCTCTGTGCTCAGCTCGAAGGCCGTGAATCGCCTGCCCCGGAAAGTCAGACCGCCGAACAGCAGGCGCCTTTTTGCTGGGGCAGAATTCCTCGCAATCTGCAGCAGCCAGCATATAATTCGACAGAGGGGAGCTCTGATCCCGCCAAGCCCTTTGTGTTGGAAAGCAACCCCGTCCATCCTCTGGAGGCGCCGTTGGCGGCGCAATATGCGCATGACAAAAAGCGGAGTATCTCCGAATGATGTTGGTTTTATTTCCCTTTAACTATCGTTTCACCTCGCCGCAGTATCTACTTTCATTCTTGGGTTGTGTATCCCGTCTGTGTGGGCCCCGGCTCATTTAAATTTCGTGAAGACGTATATGACTTAGTCGTGAAATACCGAGAAGGCACTTCTATAGCCGTTGGTACAACGGTGTTCAGGATTCTTGACATATCGGAATAACACTCTCTACAACTCTACCTTGGGTGATGGCATATATGTAGAAGGGTTTTCTCATGTGTAGCAACACACCATGTGGACCATAAAGCGGTCTTCCTTAACGCTTCAATAAGAGAATCATCGACGCTGTTAGAAAGGGTAGATAACGTGATCAGCAGAGATGTTACATTATCTACCCCTGTAGCATCAATATAAGCGTACTCATACAGAACCCCGGGGGTGTCGCCAAGTACCTGTGGAAAATGTAAACATGTGACCCTACAAAACGTCACAATGAATAGTGATAAAGCTTTGTGGTTTCAAAACAAATTACTCTTCCAACAGCTTAAATTGATATTAGCAACAACATCACTCAACTTGACTACGGAGATGTCACCAGGTCTTTGGTAATGCACGTCCAAGATTGAAAGGTTCCAAACCTGCCCTTGTGTGGAGTTGAGACCGATGTGACGAATAGGTTCAGACGTATGCGATATTAGCAGCGAGGGCCCATGCTACCTATTTCTACATACTGTTTGACAGTCAGATCTATGACAAACCAAGGCAACATTTGGTTTGAATGTGGTTTACGAAATTTATAGCACAGTGAACCTCGCAGGATGTCGGATACTAGATCTTTCCTAGACATAGTCTTTTCTGCTTATCATATGCGATCTTCGAGATTGTGCACATTTTTAGCTCAAGGATACAGATCAACCTCCTCCTAACATTTACAAATATCATTCACAGATAGGATTCGTTCCTCATTCCACTGCTCGTCTACTTCCAACCGACTACTAGTTCGAGACTAGCTTGTAGCTGGCGAACGCAGTGTCACCGTCAAGGCATCCTGGCGCAGTTACATTTTGGACGCCCTCCTCGCAATTTGAATCGGTGAAGAATTGGGCTGGAAGAATTGTTAGGTGACATGAAAGATCTTAGGGAGATGGAGATTGACTTACCAGCATATCCTGCTACGACGTAATAGGTGGTGATAGAATGAATGGCATAGGGGCCTGCAAAGGTGCCACATTCGTCAAGGCCGGATTGGTACAAGCCAAGCTCACCCATGTTGTCCTCGGCACAACCAGTTTCACCCCAGAGGCGGAGTTGGATAACTCGCGTGTCGGTGGTGGGCAACGCCATTGCGGAAACGGCTAAAGTGAGAACGGAAATAATCTTGAGCGTGAACTTCATAATGGCGATCTGGTTATTAACTGGTGATAAGAAATGGAATATGAAATTTGGGTATCTAAGGAGGGGATCTGCAACGATCGTGGTAAAGCTGGTGGTTATCGAGGGATGTGTAGTATGTGGGTTTGATGCCGAAGACAAGAGTCAGGTTTGGCATCTGGCTGATGCTCTTTATATAGCTATTCGTTGTGATGGGTAGCGATTTCGCTCATCTATTTTTACTCCGTGGGCGGTGCAATGTCCGGATGGCAGCGGAGGTCACATGCGACAGAAGGACATACCTATTACGATGAGGGTTTAGTGTACATGGTGGACTAAGCTGGGGTAGACTTGTATGTGGTTCATACAAGTCATACGTCTTGAGCTTAGCAGTAACTTAGAGTGGCCCGTTCGATCCCAGTTTCCTGTTCTGGCCACACGGAGAAACATGTCTTACCCAGGCCAAGGCCGTCAGCCCGACTGTCCACTCAGAACGCGGTGATGCGCGCCCCATGAGAGTGCCATCTGCAAAAGACAAGGCATGAGGAGAACCATCAGGCTCCCCATTCGTCCGAAACAGCCAGTCTTCGGGATTTACCCGACTCCACCCACGAGCGGAATTCGCTTGACAGACCTCCGCAGTCTGTCCACCTCGAAGCGGTCCGTTCCAAGGTCATTCGTAAAGATGGACCATGTGGTACGGTCAAACAAGGAGATGAATGTCAATACTAACAACACCACGCCAGATGGCTTCTGGGATCTACTTTACCTTCAAGGCCGCAACTTGGGCGAGTTTCCATCCCGCACTACCGACAAGGCGTGGCTATGCTGAATCCAGAGGTACCATGGGTTAGGCGCTCCATTTTATGCATCTCATTTCATTCTCGCTACTCATCATACCCTCGCCCAAAATAGATCCGTTGAGCCCTGGACGCCTGTTAGGCCCCCTGCGTAGTAAGTCAAGAAATCGTGCAGGATGAATGAGTAGACTCACTCACGCACAAACGACTTAGGTTACTATCGCATAATGCTCCTCGCACAACTGAATACGTTACAACTCAAGATTGTCTGTGGAAATAGAGTGATAAGGGTTCTGTGCCGTGGAGTTCCACCCAAGACCCGGCAGTCATCTCACTGACAATAACATCAATGAATAATGCAACCACTCGAGAAGGTTGCAGGACGCAGGGTGATTTCGTGTCTTGTTTCCAGCCAGCAGGCGGTTCACGGACATGGTCTACTACCCTTTCCGGCTCTAGCATCCATCAACCCAGCTGGGCTCTGCATTATTCTTCATCGGTCATTAACCGGCGCGCCCTCAGCTACCATGATACAACAATTACAGCCGGTTTATGAGAGCGATCGCCGCGCTAGGGCTGTTACGCCTGACTCTTTCATGGAGATGTGTGATTGTTTGACTGGTCTTTCACTCCCGGTCAGAAGAGTTCGGTCCGCCCGTCTCCCTCATTCCACTAGCATAGCCTCTAGGTTAGCGACCCCGATGAATGCAGTAAATATGGGCCGATAACAGGCGACTGTCTGTAATCTTGGGCAAAAGGTTCTATAGAGGACAAAATAGCTTGCAATGTCACCGAAGAGGACCGAGTGTAGCTTATGGGCCGAATCTGGATAATCGCCGGGCAGTCGCATAATCACCGGTCCTTGCCCAAAAGGAACGTCACCGGCTTTCAAGAAGAAGAGCAGATGGCTTCTTTGTAATCGAAAATCGTGTTCGGAAGTCTCACACCATGACAGTCATCGCCTCATCGACCATCCAGGCGGACCAATCCCAACCGTGGCAGGAGACTGATCGGCAGGTGGAGAAATATTCCGCGCATCCAGATACCCTCACACCCGTGCTCGCCAATGCTGTGGTTCTTCTTACAGGAAGTTCAGGAAGCTTAGGCTCGCACTGTCTAGCACAGCTAGTTCAATCCAACCAAGTGAGCCAGGTTATTTGTGTCCTCCGAAATAGTCAGAGTCCTAGCCCATCCGTCAGCCCCAAGGCCTATCGCCAGCAGCTGCAGGAGAAGAAGATTTTCCTCTCCGAAGCCGAATGATCTAAGGTTACCTTCATCACTTGTAATCCCACGGATTCGCATCTGGGACTTGACGCGAGCGAGTATCGAGATGTCCAACGTCGTATCACTCATGTTGTGCACGCTGCCTGGCCCATGGACTTTCGTCCAGGTTTGTCGTCACTCTGTGATCAGTTCCAGTTCCTTCGCCATCTCCTGCTTTTCGCCTCGTGCGGAGGCGTGCGCCGGCGATTCCTCTTCGTTTCTTCCATTGCGGCGGTGGCCCAGCGTGGGCTCACTCCAGCCCATGCCGGTGAATTAATCGAGGAGGCCTCCATGGTCACCCAGAAGTCTGCTACCGGACTGGGGTATGCCGACGGAAAGATCGTTTGCGAAAAGATCCTCGAACTGGCGGCAGCCACGTATCCAGACGAGCTGGAGATCGCCATAGTCCGAGGCGGGCCTATCGTAGGATCTCGCGCCACAGGCATCTGGACCACCAAGGAGGTGGTGCCGATGATGTTGCGATCATTGTTGAGCCTTGGGAAGCTGCCCCAGCTGCGAGGCGTAAGTTGCCCTCGGAATTCCAAATGCCATGGAAGATGCAACCGCTAATGTGATGTACGCGCAGACGTTGTCGTGGATGCCCGTTGACGATGCGGCCGCCGTCTTTTGCGAGATTCTTCTTGCGCTGCATCCGCTGGCGCCGGTCTGCCAGGTGGAGAATCCTATCCGTCAGGCATGGAGCGATCTGTTGGACACAGTGGGCCCTGTTCTGGGGCTGAGCACGCGCATTCCCTTCGACGAGTGGCTGGCTGCTGTGGTGGAAGCCGCCGAGACGGAGGGCTCCACGCGCAGGTACCCCGTGCTGAAGCTGAAGGCATTTTTTGCACGGTTGTTCCAACCTGCCGTGTGTGGGCATGTTATCCTGGCCACTGATCGCTCCCGGGCCTGTTCGCCCACTCTACGCCAGATGAGGGCTGTGGAGGATGAAGTGGTGCTGAAGTTTGTGCAGCACTGGAAGGACATTGGCTATTTTGCCTAAGCAGCATTGTATCCCTGTTACACCTGGGGCTTGGGCCGATCAGCGCGCTGCAGAAACGAGAGAATGACGCATTAACCTTAGACCTGTTATTCCTTTTAATTTGCACGTTGTCGAGTTCCCGACCGTGTGCTGCGCTGGATAGACTGCACCTAAACGGGCTTCTCAGCATAACTTCGTCTTCCTTCTTCAGATTGCACAGACCACCAGTCTGTTCCCTGTCGTCCTAAATAATTTATTGAACCTGACAATCTGAAGAAAATTTCTCAAGTCGAATGCCAATGGTGTTACTGCAAATGAGCACGGGTGTGGATGAGTGGCAGGCGGATACATCCCCTACTACTTGATATATATTTACAAAGTCATAGAAGTCAGAGTAAGTAGCAGTACTTACCGAAGTGTCAGTCGGGATATAGTAAGTTATTACTAGGACACAGTAGTACTACTACTATTTATCGACACAAAGGGTAGTACTCTAGATAAAGGCAGGTTTATGGAGTCATGGACACAGAACCATTTAAATTGTGTGGAAAAAGACCTAAATCGACAATTAAAGCACCACCATCGCATAACCGCTGGCGTGTGTTAAATCCGCGGTCGGAAAGACAGCATGGGACCCTGACCGCCGGCCGTAACATGATCCGCCACCACATACTCAACATCCTTGGCTTCGCTGTCGTCTCGATCCACCCTCCGCATGTCAAATTCCCAGAATAGACGGGCCATGGTGAGCATCACCTGCGCCAGCGCCAGCGGTTTACCGATACAGCTCCGGGCTCCGATCGAGAAGGGCATGTACGCGCGGCCGTCGACTTCCTGAGTTCCCGATCCCTTCAGCCACCGATCGGGATTGAACTGAAAGGGCTTTGGCCACTCGGTGACGCGGTGGTGAATGCTGTAGATTCCTACCCCGACCTCACAGCCCGGAGGAAGCCAGTGTCCATCGATGGAGGCGCCTCCATCCTCAACTTCCCGCCAGAGAGCACTGGCTGCCGGCGGCGAGAGGCGCAAGGCCTCATCAACGCAGGCCCGCAGAAACACACACGAATTTAAGGCTGGTCCCAAGCGAATATCCTTCAGCGAGGCAAATGCCGACCGTACCTCGTCTGTTACCCGGCGATGACATTCAGAAGAGCCGGTCACGTAGTGGCATACAGCAGCCATGGTGGTTGATGATGTATCAGACCCTGACCTATCGTTAGCATGGTAGCACTGGCCGCGATAGCAAAGGGTGGCCGAGGGTCACCGACCGGCAATTATAAAGGTGGCAGTCTCCGTGCTCAATTCCGTCACGCCCAGACCCTCGCCTGTGGCAGGGTCCTTGCATTGCTGTAAGAAGGCAAACAGGTCCCCACCCTTGTCAAGGGCACGCAGCCGCGTCCCCAGGAGTTCTCGGATAAATCGAACAAATTGCCTGCGACCAGCGATGGACGAGGGAAATAATCGGCCGTCCAGGTTACCTGTCGCCAGTTCCTGCGCCTGCAGAAGCACGCTGAGTCGAATGTTCGACGCGGAGATTGCCTCAATCCCATAGCGATATTTCGACGATCGGAGAGTGTCGAAGTCCGAGTCGAAAGAAACCGAGGTCATTGTATCAAAAGCGAGGCGGTCAACTATCACGAGTATTACTAACGATATCCTATTTCAGGGTTGACAGGAGACTTGCAGGTACGTGCCATGTCAAGCCGCGTCGTCCATCCATTCTCCATTGAAGAGGGTGTCGTGATCAAGCATCCGCGTATGACCTGGGATAGCCGATCAAGCTGAGAGACGATCCTGGGCTGCCACGATTCGAGACTGCGGGCGGAGAATCCCTGGCTCAGCACCCGGCGTCGGCGGCTATGCTGGGTTTTATCTTGCATAGTGAGGGTATTAGGTGCCTGCTGCGCGAGCACCCGGTAGTTCACGTATTTCTTGACGGGCGCGCGATGACCGTATATGTCTTGGACAGCCCCTGCCGTGTTAATTAGTAGCCGGTTGGGCGCATAGCGCACTTGGTCCCCTGTTGTCATGTTAGGCGGAGCTGAAGTGCACATCCTGAGGTGTAGGGAGAATTACCATATCGTGCGTGGCAACGGTAGATGTCAATATGAATGTCCCCTTTCCACGCATGATACGCGGAATAAAGATTGCTGAACCGCGCAAGGAGAGGACCGGGGTATCTGGCCAGAGGATGGAAGACGCCCAAATACAGGGCCCGCGTTAGAACCTGGCCTCCCAAATGCCCGTTAGATTGGCATCGGTCGTCAAGGAGTTTAGTTGGGTCAGATAGATGCACTTACAAGTAATATGAAGCCAACCAGCAAAGCAATACCTACATTTCCTGCTTCACCTACGCCAGCAAACAGCTTGAACATCATGCTTGGCAAAACTGGGTGCTTGGTGTTTGGGGTCACCTATCTCTTTGACGCTCAGTATCATTCAGTGAGAAATTGAATGAAGACGAAGTAAAGTTCTGGAGGTCCCTTCACCTGACTTGGGCTGGTGTAGATTGACGGTGGAAATTAGTTCATCTTAGTAATTCGCATCGTGGGACCCAGATTGAGCTGTAAATGAGACATGGAGTTGACTTGCAGTCACAAAAAACCTGGATTATGCACCGAGGGGTTTGCATCCACTCGATCGGCGTATATCTTCTGCGGAGTGAAGGTCGGCGACTATCCTTATGTTACTCAGACAGATCGGCGTTATTGAAATGATAACCGTCTATCCGATGTCACATTCGGCCCATACTTGTGCTAGTATGCGGGACCAAGAACAGAACCCAGTTTCTATATTGCAACCCTATCCTGTTCCAAACTGCAACAGGACTCGTTCGATATGGCCCGTGCCTCATCTCGCACTATCTTCAAGGTTTATTACATCAAGTTCACAACCCCATCACTGTATGGGCAGAGGAAATAATCAATCTTCACTACAGTAGTTTCATTCAATTTTCACTGAACAGCCACGATTTCAAGTACGACGTAATGGGGATCACCGTTGATGAACAGAACCATGCTTCACGCTCGCACGAGCCTATTGCCATCGTGGGCATGGCCATGCGGCTACCTGGCAGAGTAAACGACAGCGAGTCCTTTTGGCGGATGCTAATTGAGAAGCGAAGTGGGCTCTGTGACGTGCCGAAGGACAGGTATCACCTGGACGCCTTCCACGATCCGCATGGCAAGCCGGGAACGGTGCGCATGCGGCAGGGGTACTTTCTAGACGACGTTGATGTCCGCCAATTCGATAGCAATGTGTTTTCCAGCCCCAAGAAAGAGCTGGAACGGCTGGATCCGCAGCAGCGCCAACTCCTGGAAGTCTCGTATGAGTGCCTGGAGAATGCGGGATGCACCCTGTGGCGGGGTCGAAAGATCGGCTGCTACGTCGGCGTTTTTGGCCAGGACTGGTTGGACTTGAATGCCAAGGAGACACAGCATATGGGTGCCTATCGCGTTACGGGTTATGATGACTTTGTGCTGGGAAATCGTATTTCGTACGAGTTTGATCTCCGCGGCCCTAGGTAGGCACAATCATTCTTGTCACATTATCCATCAAATAAACGCGAAACTAATGAGTACCAAGCATGACTATTAAGACTGGATGCTCCTCTTCATTGGTATGCCTCGATCTCGCCTGTAAGGCGCTGCGCGACGGTGACTGTGAGGGTGCATTGGTTGGTGGAACGAGCTTGATCTTTTCGCCTACCATGAGCCTGGCACTTAGTGATCAAGGTGTGCTATCGCCGACTGGAACGTGCAAGACCTTTGATGCATCTGCCGATGGTTACGGGCGTGGGGAAGCAATCAACTCTATCTACATCAAAACCTTACGACAGGCCATACAGGACAGAGATCCCATCAGGGCAGTCATCCGAGGTACAAGCGTTAATTGCGATGGTCAGACCCAGGGAATGCTCACCCCGAGCCCAACCGCGCAAGAGGCACTGATGCGCCGTGCGTACGAGATGGCCGGTATTGCTGACCTCGGCCAGACGGCCATGATCGAATGCCACGGTACTGGCACCTCCGTGGGGGATCCTCTCGAGACCACTGCCGTGGCCAAGTGCTTTGGCGAGACTGGTATAATCATTACCTCGGTATGAACGGACCTCTCCGTATTCTACAGGGACCAGTTGGAGACTGATCAAGATTTGTGTGGGCTAGGTCAAACCTAACGTCGGCCACTCTGAGGGGGCGGCCGGCTTGACGGGTCTCATAAAAGGAGTTTTGGCACTGGAACACCGTCAAGTGCCGCCTAACATCCACTTTTCCGAACCAAACCCCGACAGTGAGTGTTCCTTCAGCTTCATTATCTGGTATATGTCTAACTCGTGGCCTGCCGTCAGTCCCCTTTAAGACCGGCAAGCTGCACGTCCCCGTGGAGGTTGAGCCATGGCCTGCGGACCGTGCCGAGCGAGTCAGCGTCAATTCCTTCGGCATCGGCGGTGTCAATGCCCATGTAGGAGGCCCTGTGCCCTTATCTGCTAGCGAATGTTTTCTCATACCGTCAGGTTATTCTCGAATCACCCCGCCAATGCGGGGTCGTCGATCAGATGTCACGCCCCGACCCTGTTCTTCGGGAAGAGGACGCCCATTTGCTGATCTTCTCCGCCCATAGCGCAGCCTCCCTGCAGTCCTCCATTGCCGCACATCAAGCGTACGTTGAGCAAGGTCATGCCTCCTTGCAGGATGTGGCATACACGCTCGCCAATCGCCGGTCCCATCACACCTATCGCGCTTATGCGGTTGCAGGCGACAAAAAGTCCTGGAATGTGTCAACAGCTGAAGCTGCCAGTTTGCCTCCACGCATTGCGTGGGTATTCACGGGACAGGGAGCACAATGGCCGCAGATGGGGGCAGAGCTTCTGGAGGTAAATGCCACCTTTCGGGACACAGTTCAGAAGTTGGACCGGTTCTTACGCACACTACCCAGTCCACCACCATGGACCATCGAAGGTGAGAAGCACGCTCCAAGGCTACATTTGGACCGAGACTGATGCTAGATTCAGCGGAGCTACGCAAACCAGACACGATCAGTCGAATTCATGAAGCCGTCATGGGCCACCCCCTGTCCATTGCCCTCCAGATTGGGATTATTGATGTGCTACGGTCCTGGGGCATCGTCCCCACGGCTGTGCTGGGCCACTCATCGGGGGAGATGGCAGCTGCATATGCTTCCGGTGCCATCACTGCCGAGGAGGCGATGGCTGCAGCCACCTTTCGAGGTGCGAGCCACGACACCTCCTCGCGCAAAGGAGCCATGGCGGCCATCGGCCTCGGCCCCAAAGAAGTGCGGCCCCTACTCCAACAAGGAGTTGTGATTGCTTGTGAAAACAGTCATCAGAGCGTGACGATCTCAGGAGATACCGAACGCGTCGAGGAGGTGGTGCGTCGTATTCAAGAGGAGCAACCGGGGACTTTCGCTCGATTCTTACGTGTGGAGAAGGCTTTCCATTCTCGTGAGTGTACCCGCAACCACTGACTACCATGCTAGGTAGATGCTCACCTTCCGTTAGACCGTATGCAGGAGTATGGACCTCACTACGAAGAGCATCTCCAGCCATTTCTTCAAAGCAAGTGCCCCGAGGTCCCCTTCTACTCGACGGTCACGGGAGACAGGTTATCCGGAGATGGCTTAGGCGCCACTTACTGGCGTCAGAATATGGAAAGCCCGGTGCTGTTTAATGCCTGCCTTCGCTCCGTCTTACGGGACTACCCTGAAAAGCTTATTTTCGTCGAAATCGGACCACACCCTGCCCTTAAAGGACCTATCCGACAGATCCTTCATGACGTCCAACGACCCGACATCGGGCACGTGGGAACCCTCCAACGATCCCAACAATGCCAGGAAAGCCTCCTGCAGTGTGCAGGCATGCTGTCTCAGCACAATGTTTCTCTTGACCTCGCAAGGGTCTGCCCCCCGGGTCAGTGTGTCACGGACCTGCCCCGTTATGCCTGGCAAAAAGACGTGTCCCACTGGGCCGAGCCCCGCCTGGCCCGCGACTGGCGCTTTCGAGCATATCCGCCGCACGAACTTCTGGGAAGCCGGGTAATTGAAATGGGCCATGAGCCGTCATGGAGGAATGTACTGGCATTGGAACATATTCCTTGGTTGGAAGGCCATCGTGTCAGTGATCACGCGGTGTTTCCTGCGGCAGGTTATGTTTCTATGATCGGGGAGGCTCTGCTTCAGTTAGAAGGCGAGCCAGCTTACTCGCTTAGAAACATCAGCATCAGTACAGCATTGACGTTGCAAACGGAAGGGTCGACAGAGATCCTCACAAGCCTCCGCCCAATATCAATGGACTCATCGGAGGCGTCTCCATGGTATTCATTCAGCATTAGCTCCTTTGATGGAACCCGCTGGGTGCGAAACTGCTACGGTGAGGCTAGAGCGTCCGTGGATAAAACTGTAGTTAGGAACGTGGACGAGTCAGCGGCACCATTTCCTCGGCTAGTTGACCAAAGAACTTGGTATAATGTCCTGCGTCAGGTGGGCTTGGATTACACTGGGGCATTCCGTGGTCTGCAATCCATCTCAGCTGCGACAGTGGACAACAGAGCCACTGCGACCGTCCCATGGCAGAACATCCACGGAAGTGCACATTATGCGGTCTATCCCGGAATGATCGACCAGTGCTTCTAGTTATTCACCGTGTCTGTCTGTCGCGGCCAGGCACGGAAATACCGTCATCCCGCCGTCCCAACCTTCATCGAAGAGATGGTCATTATTCCCACCAAGGGTAGTGTAGAGGTGTATTCCTATATCCCTACATCTGAGGGAGGATCATACGTTGGCGAGCTTGTTGCCCAAGCAGCAGGCGAGCTTGTCCTCTCAGTGAAAGGCTTCAAGGCCTCTGCCCTCACTGCAGCGAGTCCTGTCTCGGAAGATGTACCGCTAATAACCCAGTTGGAGTGGAAACGAGACGCCGACTTCGCCGATTTGGCCCAATTGATGTACCCCCGTACGCACTGTCCTTCCGAATGGGCTCTACTGGAGGAACTTGTTCTTTTATGTATGCTGGAGCACCAGGGCCAGTTACAGCTCGACGAGCAGACCCCCGAGCATCTCCGGGTGTTCTTTGCCTGGCAAAAGACTCAGCTAGACCGATACAGGAGAGGGTCGAACATTTTGGTGCCTGCAGATCTTGAGCTCGAAAGAATGAGCCGTGCCAATCGTCTGGCTCGCGTGGATGCCCTAGTGGCCCAAGTGAAGGCCTCGCCATATGCAGTCTTCGCCACCGCGGTACATCGCCTTTTCATGGCCGCTCCAACTATCTTCACCGGTGAAGCCCATCCGTTACAAGTCCTCCGACAAGACCAAATATTTGAGGAGCTTTGTGTTATCACGGACACTCTAGAATACGCAGATGCGGTGGCGCTCTTAGGTCATAGCTACCCCGTCATGCGTGTCCTGGAGGTCAGCGCTGGGACAGGCGGAAGTACCCGGAAGGTCCTCCAGGCACTTACCTCATCCAATGGCGAGCGCTTGTACAGCAGCTATACCTATAGCGATGTTTCACCGGGATTCTTAACTACAGCACAGGAGCAGTTCGCTGACCGCGAGGGCATGACATATGTTGTCTTGGATATCACGCGAGACCCTGAAACCCAGGGCCTCGAGCTGGGGCAGTACGATCTAATCGTTGCTAGTAATGTAAGTGATGTTAACACTCAGTAACTATGTTAGGTCAGGTATTAGTGTTTACCAAATTCAGGTTGTGCATGCCACGCCGTGTTTGCAGACATCTCTACGACACCTCCGCAGTCTGCTAAGCCCCAGAGGTCGTCTCTTCTTGCATGAGCTCTGCCCCGGTGAGTGGGACCTTCTAGACCGCAAACTGTAGTGTGCCTTCAGAGCTAATTATGGGCAGAGGCCAAGTTTTATGATTATGTTATGGTAGCTGTCCTCCCAATTTTCCAGCCTGCAGATCCCCCGCTCCACTGGTATTCATCTGCTTTGGAAACTAATAGCAGGTATATATAGGGATATTTACCTGGGTGGTGGGTTGGACGGGCGGACAATCGCCTGGATCAGCCATATGTTTCACCGGACCGATGGACCCAGGAACTGATAGCCGCGGGCTTTGAGGAGCCTGATGCCGTTGTGCTTGATGGGGTTGCTCCATATCATAGCAACGCAGGCATGATCGTTTCAACGGCCCGTCCGCGAACAATTCCCTCTCGGGTGACTCTGTTGTGTTACACCCCAACAGGAACGTTCGTGAAAGGCCTTAATTAGCGCCTGCATGACCGAAAAATGTCCGTGGACATCTGCACCCTAGGCGAGCCTCTGCCCCCCACGCAGGATGTAATATCTGTGCTAGACCTGCAAGAGCCTACAATCCACGCCATGTCAGCGTCAACGTTTAAGGTAATACTGGAATACTTACAAACATTCAAAGAGCAGATGCTGTGGGTCACTCATGCGTCACAGGTGAAATGCAAAGATCCCAGAGCTTCCATGATACTGGGACTGGCGCGCACCGCCCGCAATGAGTTGTCGGCTAGGCTGACGACGGTGGAGGTGGACAACGTGACTTCAAGCTCAACTGCAGCGGATTTGACGATCAGAATTCTCCTCCGTAGTCCCCTTTCTGACCTTGGGCCTGATTCCATGAATCCGGATTGGGAATTTGCCATCGTGGACGGGGATGTTTTGGTGCCCCGTGCACATTGGACTAATATCTCCGAGGCCTTTTCGCATCTCCGCACCTCGGCCACCTCGACGCGGAAACAGCTCGCTATTGAGACGCCGGGCTTGCTTCATACTGTGGGGTGGACGGAGAATGATATTGGCAGCTTAGCAGATGACGAGGTCCTCGTTGAGACCAAAGCAGTCGGCTTGAACTTTCGTGTACGCCGCTTGTCCGCCCAGCAGACCCAAGTGGCCCAATTGCTGACATCTGATACAGGATGTGCTGATTGGTCTGGGGGTGCTTGACAACAGCGCTAGAGAGGTGAGACTTGAAGGCGCGGGTATAATACGAGCCGTCGGTGCCCAGGTCAAAACTCTCTCTGTCGGTGACCATGTAATGTATATGTCCAGTGGGTGCTTCGCTACCCATGTAACCTTACCACAGGCTATCTGCGTCCGAATGGATGGGACTATGTCCTTTGAGATGGCGGCATCGCTGCCGTGTGTATTCACTACAGCTGCCATGGCTCTGGTGGATAAGGCAAGACTGGGGAAGGGTCAGGTACGTTAATTTCCCAGCGGGACACCTTCAGACTCCCTGACGACTACAATTCTCAGTCCGTTCTGATCCATTCTGCCTGCGGTGGAGTCGGCTTGGCTGCGATTCAAATCGCCCAGATGATAGGAGCACAGGTACGTGACATCAGTCGCATGGCTGGAGCATCGCTAAAGGAGACAGGTCTACTGCACAGTCGGGAGTGAGGAGAAGGTACAGTATCTGATCGACCATTATCACATTCCGCACGAGAACATCTTTCATTCCCGAGATGCATCCTTCCAACGGGACATCATGACGGCCACCAGAAATCGTGGTGTTGATGTGGTGCTCAATTCCTTGTCCGGGGAGCTATTGCTGGCCTCATGGAAATGTGTCGCCGAGTTTGGGACCATGGTCGAGATCGGCAAACGAGACTTCCGCCGCCGTGCGAAGCTTTCCATGGAGGCGTTCGAGGCTAATCGAACATTTGTTGGGCTTGACCTCTGGCAGCTATCTCAACTACGGCCCCGGCAAGCCGCTGAGTAAGTATACCATTTTACAAAGCACTACGAGCTGCTGCTCACAAAGTTCACTAGGCTCCTAGAGCGTTGTGCGGACTGGATACGGTCTGGGGCCATCTCCTTAGATGCCCCGGCCAACATCTTCCCGGCCAACCGAATCCAAGATGCCTTCAGATTCATGCAGGCCGGTCGAAACATTGGAAAAATTATTATCACTATGCCTGATGACCCCATTGATCTTGGATCAGTGCCTAAGAAACCCTCCATCACTCTGCGGCCCGACCGCAGCTACCTTCTTGTGGGTGGGCTGGGGGGGCTGGGCCGCGCGGTAGCTTCCTGGATGGTCGAGATCGGGGCCCGACATCTCATCTTCCTCTCCCGCTCCGCTGGCCAGCTCCCTGAGACTGTCCAGTTTGCAGCTGAGCTTCGCTCCCAGGGATGTGAGGTCCAGTTGATTACAGGCAGCGTATCTGAGACAGATGATGTCCATAAAGCAGTTACTGCAGCGACTATGCCAGTGGCTGGCGTTATAAACATGTCGATGATCCTGAAGGTATGTGGCTCACGATATCTATGAGAAGCCGACTAGCTCTGACCGCGTTCGCTAGGATGTATCACTGGTGGACATGAACTTCTCCGACTGGACTAGCGTGGTAAATCCCAAGGTTCAGGGGACCTGGAATTTGCACCATGCCACCTCTGCTCACCTGGACTTCTTTATCCTATTCTCTTCGTATAGTGGGATTGCTGGTCAATGGGGACAAGCAAACTATGCGGCCGCCAACACCTTTCTAGATGCTTTTGTGCAATATCGACATCAAAAGGGCCTGCCAGCATCGGTGATAGATGTCGGCGTTATGGGTGAGGTGGGGTTTGTATCACAGAATGAGGCTCTATTCGATCGCTTCACAAAGAGTGGTATGCATATTCTGAAGGAGCACGACCTTCTGGATGCAATGGTTCTTGCCATCGCACGATCAGCTCCTGATCCCACCGGAGCCCAGGCCGGGGCGTACTGCAATGCCAGTCAGATTCTACTGGGTGTACACACTACCGTTCCCATATCGACCCGCTCCAGCCGAGTAGCCTGGAAGAACGACATTCGGATGAGCATCTATCATAATATCCATGGGGGCAGCGAGGTATCCCCAGCTGGAACCTCAGATCAGAACAGTCTCCGGGGATTTCTTGCTGCATGTGGCTCTCGACCCGAGATCCTGGAAGAAGAAGAAGCCACAACAAGGATTGCGCAGGCATTGGGCTTGGCGCTAGCAAACTTTCTCCTGCGCGATGCTCAGAGCATCAGTGCCCATGATTCCCTTCCTGCGCTAGGGGTCGACTCTCTTGTGGCCATGGAGGTCCGAAACTGGATTCGGCAACAGCTCGATGTGGATGTCAGTGTCTTTGTGCTCCTGCAAAGCCTGTCGCTACTGCATGTAGCTGATCACCTGCGCCTGGCCCTCAATGCTCGCATGGCGGCCAACGGGCCTACCGCCGTCGAGGCATAGTAGATGCACCATGTAGTCCCGATACAGCCGACAGGTAATCCCAATCCCCCGTGCGTTGAATTTGCCCGAGACCGCGGGCCCTGCTGATTGGGGACACTGTAGGCCTCTAGGGGTGCTACCTTCGAAATAGGAGCAGGGTTGATGCGCAGAGCGGGGACGACTGGATGGTGGCTTGGTACTTCAGGGCGCGAACGAGGGATTCACCTTCGTCGGGCCAGTAGACTTAAGAGGCCCACAGAAAAATATCCATATATTCAAATCGTGCATAAATGTTCACAGATGACCACGCAAGGCCTTTCCAGTCCAAGTTCAACAGAAAGTATATGCGAGAGGTCCCGTGGACGGCAGTGTTCACCGATCCCCATTGGGTAGTTAACAATGCCATTTACTTTATCCTAGAACCAGGTTGCATAGTGGCCAAGATTGATTCTGTACGATTGTTTGTCATTAGTGCATAAACTAATCATCCTGTGGGCGTGTAGGTCCGCTTCCTTGTTGGCATAACTGTTCGTAATCCCACTGTGGGCCGAGGCAGTGAACTGGCACCATTTGGTTATCTGGTTCACTGTCGACCATAGGTTACATCCAATTCAACCGAAATGGGTGGCAGGCCGTGTATTTGCCATCGGTCCCCGGAGAGATCTTCCGGTAGCTGGAGCCCGTCGGAAGGACGAAGAAGTTCCCATTGGATGTATTAATCAAATAGTTCTCTGCGCTTAACCTCGCCGCTGACGAATCCCCTGCGACCGGCGAGGGTAAAGACTTGTAGGGATGGTCACTACTGTCCACCGAACATGACAAAATTCTGCACCCACGACCAGTATTGACTCCGGTCAATAGTCCGTGATAGCTCTGCAGCTGTCACAGGGATAATCCTTTTCATGGCCCCAGCTTGACTACCCCCGCCAAGGTACGAGCAATCGGCGATCGACAAATGGTACATATGGACTTGTTCTTGTCGAGATCGGTACCACCAGACTTCGAAGCCTACCATTTTGGAACAATCCCCCTCAGCTTCCTAGACAGATCTCGACCTGAAACCCCCTGCCCAACAGTCTAAAATCGATCATAGATCTCAATCCGGATGGTATCCTTTACTAGCGCCGCGTTCCCACCAATCTCCACTCTTCCAGGCGTGCTGTTGCTCAATGCACCATAGCACCCCGCCCTTTACTCCATCCACCGGTCCGGATAGTTCCCTTGTGGGTAGTCGGCATTTTGACCATATCCTGGCCAGAAGCCCTCCCCGTTCGTGATTGGAGGATTGCCTACCAGGCCTTAAGGCATTGCGCAGTCTTAGTACGGTCATGGGATGGCTCCTGGGAGGACATGACTTCACAGGTGGCCGATACCCGCCCATTGCAAACGAGCGATGCAACATTCCACGATCTCCCTTCTTCAGTCAAGGCTGCGTGCGGCCAGCACATCCTATCAACGAGATGAGACAGGTTTTCTGCCGTCGACGGTTAGCCGACTAGTGCCAGGCTGGGTTGGAATATCCATATATATATAAAGGACCAGTGGCTTCCATTGTTGCAATGACCGTGTGCCGCTGAACATGTCCGACAATCCAGAACCTCATTCACGTGGGACAATGCGCCCCAGGAGGCTGCGTCTTGCCTGTGATGCCTGTCACAGGGCAAAAATACGATGCACAGGCGGTAGCCCTTGTAAGAAGTGCGAGAACGCGTGCGTCAACCCCCAGCACCAAAGCCGACATGGTCCAGCGAAGTCCCCTTTCTAAATAACCGAGGGATAGAAATGTCACCTGCCAGTACAGCTACACTCAAAAGCTTGGCAAGCCCAAGGGCAGCCGAAACAAGAGGACACTTGCTAGGCTGAACGCATCCAGTAGTGGGCGACAGGGACCAGCAAGGACCGCGGACAAACTGCCACCATCTCCACTGCTAGTTCCGAATAACCTTTACCCAACGATTGTCGAAACCCCTTCAAGATCATTATCAAACGATCAGCCTTTGGAGTCTGATCTCGAATGTCCCTGGATAGACCCTATCTTCGATCTCGATGCTACAGTTTATCCTCCTCCACCGAACGGAGGCCTATGTCAAGTGAGTTCGCAGTGTCTTGCAATCTAGGACTCCCAGTCACACAGAAATGACAGTTCTTCAGCTTGAAAGCACCTACCCAACCTTGGAACACGGTACGTCTCTTACGGGTGAAACACAAAATCGTTACAGGATCCTGTCCACTGGGACTGACGTACGACAACCTGACTTCAGGAACCGAAAACGGGCAGTCCAATGGAATTATCGCTTTTGAATCCACACAGGACCACTCAGACGCAAGGCTCATGTCCCCAATTGGTACTACTATCAACGACAACATATATAGAGTTGACGTACAACCCCGTGTGGTTACACAGAAGCCGAATGCTGCAACCCCCAGCCACATTCCGGCTTCTTACCCCCCCAACAGGGCACCCACCAGCACTTCTATCACTTCATCCCTCCTTTTTGGAAATCCCAGCCCATTCCAATGCGAAGGGGAGACGTCATGTTCCTGCCTCCGGCTGCTCACAGAACAACTATACCTCTTCCATTCCACGGAACGCAACCACCTTGCCATACCGTTCGATCAAGTTCTATCAATGGCTTCGACGTTCATCGGCTGTGCTGACGGCATTCTACACTGTGTGCTGTGTCAACTTGACAGTACAGTATTGCGACTACTCATGACGGCGCTCCAGAAAATTTTCAGCTGGGTTTATATGGGTTACAGCAAGCAGCCGGAGGCCCCCCAGCTGCCCCCCGTCCACTTTGGCGATTGGAGAGTGTCGGAGCAGGATGGGGAAATGGTGAAGCTGCTTCTTACAAAGCACGTTCTATCCCTCTGTCGCTCTGTGGTTCGCAACCTACAGCTCCGGGTGGATGAGATGCATCTACTTGCCAAAGTCCAAACGAGGTTTCATTGTATGGACACTGCAAGCATGAGCGTTTTAGCAGAACGACTGGCTAGCTCACTGTCGGATGTTACACAGCTAGTTCGGCATTACGGCAAAGAGAAATATGTGATCCCTGACTCGCCATCATCTCAACAAAGCCCTGAAAGAAGTGCAACTGTCGCGGAGTCGGGTTAGGCGCGGAGGGTTGCTGCGTGACGAGAAAATGTACTCCCTCGAGGAATCTTCTTGACATCTGTCGCGTAAGATGGCGAGCGGATAGCTGAACCTTACTATATCATTTAGCGAGCGTGGCGTCGACCAGGGTGGTATGTTCTGACTCAAACTTTAGCAGTGGTACATTCCTCGCGCGTTAATGGTTCAAGTCCTCAGCCTAGCCAAGAAATCACCTTCCGGATCAAATGTCATAGATCCTTTTATCTGTTTCAGGTGAAGGAAACCAATTATTTTCCTGTGCCGCCTAGGACTCTACCGTGCCGAGTATTGCAATCTTTCCGTATAAATTTCCAGTATAATTGAGCCAATGCAGGCACACTGGTAGGCATGACTTCGGTCTGCAACTAATTACCTATTTATAAGAGAATATATGTATGTCATACGCTTTCTCGCACGGCGTCCAACATATCAAGAGTGTTAAGTGTCCATTGAATGGTTAATTTCTGTCCCGAACTAGGGCAGATTTCCAAGATGGGTCTCGAATAATTACACATAAGATCATCTTCCCCACAACACAATATGATTACGTAATAGATACTTGCACAAGTGACGTGTTTGTTGGTTGTGGTCTCGAGGACGGAGTACATAGTTATCCTTAACCTTGGTGATTGATCACCTCTCGGACAGTAGCTAGTATCACTTTTCCTCGTTTGGTGGTTCCTTTCGTCCTGACAGTGCGAATTACACAAAGACAAGCATTCTACTCGCTGTGCAAACTGCCCGATATTATCTTATATGCCCGCTTATCAGAAGTCCCGTTTGCCTCATGGGCTCCAAATCACACGGGAAGAGAAAGTATAAATGAGGGGGGAAATGGTCCTTTTCGGCCAGAATCAAAAGGGATTCTCAGAAGGGCACCACAAAAACTCGTCGAACAGGACAATAGCACAGGGAAGCAACAAGAAAATTTCTTCGAACGCGGTATCTAGACGTAACTAGCTATGCCACTTTATATATTTTATCATGAAAATCAGTCGTAGCCCGCGTGATCTACGTCCCACTATTGCTAGTCAAACGTCGACTCGATTTGCCTCTCTAACCACTTCTGAAGTAGTTTCTCCGGTAATCTCGCTGTGTGCTTGTTTGCTAACCTTCCCAAAAACCTCATCAATTTCCTCTAGCGTCCTGCCGGTCGTCTCGGGTACCAAGAACAAGGCCCACGTTCCTGCAAGAACACAGCATGCCGCAAAGAAAACGTATGTGCCATAACCAATATGAGCCATCATTGCCGGAGTCACGATTCCAACAATGAAATTGGACAGCCAATTGACACAAGTTGACAACGCGACCCCTTTAGAACGGAGTACATTTGGGAAGACCTCCGAGGGCAGGGCCCAGCCGAGAGGTGAGTATGTATTCCCGTAGACAAGAATGTACAGGAAGGCCATCGCCACACAGGCCCAACCAGCCGATGGGTTAGCCCAATTGGGCCCATAAAGAGCCATTAGCACAGCAATGACGACATAGCAGGCTCCCATAAGGAAACCTCCTAGTATAGCCAGGGGTCGCCGACCAACTTTGTCGATGGTGAAGAAACAGACTAGGACAGTGAGAAGCTGAAGGGAATTGAATACACCCGACAAGATCAAGGACATCTCGCCCTTCTGGCCGATTGAAGTGAAGAGTGTCGGCGCGTAGTATATGAAGGCATTTACACCCGAGAATTGTTGGAAAAATCCTACACCCACGCCGACTGCTGTCCTCTTCCAGGTCTGCGGCTTGAATAGATCCATCCATATCAGGGCCTCTCGCTTGATGCCAGTCACTCCCGGGCGTTGTTGCTTTTCAATGAGTTTCTGGGCTCTAACCTCACTGATTATTGCGTTGAACTCAGCCTGGACTTTCTGATCGCTCAATGGAAGGCCGCGCAGCCGACTCAGACTCTTGAGACAATCCTCCGGCCGATCAACGAGCGCCAGCCACCGTGGTGAGTATGGGAAGAAATGGATACCGATTCCAACAAGAGTTGCGCTGACCATCTGCAAGCCAAAGGGCACACGGAATGAAGCTTCACTGTTTACTAATCTCATGCCGAACGTTATCCAATAAGCTATGACTGACCCGGACACGAGGCAAATGGATTCGAGCACTAATAGGGTTCCTCGCAGGTTTGGTGGTGAAATTTCTGAGATGTAAAGTGGTGCGCCCTGGTGTTGCCAGATATGTTAGCAAGCTGTTTTGCATGGGACAGGAGATTCATCTCTACCATAGCCAGTGTACCAACCCCGATACCACCAATTGCTCTTCCAGCAACCAGCATGCCGTAACTTTGGGCCGAGGTCTGGATAATGGCTCCGATGTCAAAAATGATAACGACCACCGTCAGGGCCCACTTCCTGGAGACCTTGTCGGCAAGATAAGGCATGAAGATACAACCCACAAATGCCCCCAGGAGCAGCATGCCTGTCATGAACCCTTTGCCAAATTCACTCTCCGCCTGCGGGATAGCCGCATGAAATTGCGGCATGACATTGATGACTGATATAACTCCTTGGTCATACCCAAAGCTGAAACCCCCAAGAGAAGCAAGGCAGGCGGCTCCAAGAACATACCCCGAGCTGAAAAGCCCTCTGACGCCATCCGGTCCATATGAAGGCATCATATCCAGCGCTTCAACACCCCTCTCATCATGCTCCACCGTAGTATCATCCTCTTTCGTCTTTTGATGCATTGAAAATCTTGAGCGAGTTATAACTCTTGACCGTCTCTCCATGTATTTACCTGATTGAGGACGCAGGGCTGAGCACTTAAGTAGCCCGTGGGGCAGGGGATATTTGACTGGAGTTACCCCGGCCGGCTCTAAACACATCCCCCCAGACGGCCAGAAGGTATAAGCGCACCAATCACATCTACTCGAGTGGCGTACAGGGATTACGAAAATGAAAGGCGCATCGGACATCTCTCTTGACCTGACCTCCGGCTACTTACCATGATTATTAGTCCCGTGTCGTGTCGGTCAGTCATTGGGCGAATAACGCACTTACTCGTCTCTCCATAAGCCGGGTGGCCGGAGACGTGTGGATTATAGGCATTCTGTCTACAATGAAGTGCCTTGATGAGTTCTGCTAGATGGCTGAAAATACGATGATTTCCAGAGCCACATGGTCTCCGTCACCGAAGACACCGCTAGGGGTGTAGTGAGGAAAAGAGGCTTTTAGAAAATGGGCCATGTCAATAGCTTGTCTATCAAATATCTAGAGCGCTCAGATTGGTCGTGGTCAACGATTTCTTTGATTCAAATATCTGTTCGCCCCGGACATTCTTGGTGCAACACCCCGGCTATATTCACGACCGAACAGCAACCGGGCTTATCAACCCGGATACCAAATGACAGGTGGAATGAACCAGTAATGCACCACATGTTGGGCCTCTCATAAGACTAGATCCAACAAAAACTTTTTTTGCTTGGCATTGTAACTAACAATCGCTCCTATACTACATACGTCAGGACATGCGAATTTAGGAATATGTAACCGTTGTGACCCTTCTACGGCTTTTGCGGGGTCCCCACACGTCTCGAGGGCATTATTGTTTCTGGGGAAGGCTGCCTGTGCAAGCCGGGATGCTCCGAGGTACCCCATCAAAGTCTTTGTTTCTACCACCGGCCTCCACTCATCCGTTCATGTCTCTCCACGTCGGGGTCCGGGAACGTTGTAACATGGCACGGAGTCGGGTGACAGACATCGGACTTAATCACTGCAGAAAAGGGGTTCGGATATGCGCCCCGGTTCCAACCCCCTCGGCCGATTCACGTGATGTTAGGCCGTCAACGTAAGTATAGGCCTCGATACCATTGTGCATGAGGAACTGAGCTTCTACTATCTCATCTTGATGACCCCTAGTGGACCTTATCAGTTCTCTCTCTGTCCCCTTGAGCCGTTATGCAGTACAGACTCCTATTGGCAGGCGACAGAGCCGACTTCACCACGCTCGAATTCGACCAGAAGAGAGGAAAGTTGAGCATCCTTGCTAATTATGCAGCCCCCTTCAATGCTTCCTGGGTCGAGCTATCGTCATCGCAAAGGGGCCTGGTTCAACTTGTCGGCCTATCCGAGGGGAACGAGTCGGGTCTTTTGTATACCTTCGAGATAGATCACCTGAAAAAGGATTACACAATTACCAGCCAGTTGCCAACTCTGGGAGCGCCTGGTCACTGTAGGTAGATACATCACTCGGTTTACCATATGGTTCTTATTAGTGACAATTTGGTCTCACTAGTCGTCAAGTTGCATGATAATACTGCACTAGCTCTTGGAACTGTTAGTTGACATCAGGTCCTCCCGTTTCGACACATCTACTAACATTTCACTCCATGTAGTATCTGGGAGGATCTGTTGCCCTCTATCCCATTTCCAGAACAGACAATGGCAAGATACTGCTTCAAAATGTTCCGCGAGCGGAGATTCTACCGGAATTTCCCTATCAGTCGATTGGACACGGTCCTAACAAGGCCCGTCAGCAACAATGCCATGTGCATCAAATATTGGAAGACAGCCGAGGAATAATATACGCCCCGGATCTGGGATCTGATAGGGTTTGGATACTTCGGCGCGACGGCGCTCAGCATCTTGAAGTCTGCGGCTGGCTACAGTGCCCTCCCGGAACAGGCGCTCGACATGCCGTATTGACTCCCAATGGTATGTTCTCTTAGCCTCAACACGGAGATCCCATGTTCCGGAGCTAGCTGACTTTAATTGCTAGAGACAATTATGTACGTTATTGGAGAGCTCTCGCACACTGTCATCGCCTTCGATGTATCAGCTGCCCCTGCAGAGGGCATACCCCCGATTGGTGGCTTCGCACCGAGTATAATCCCTCCGGAGGTTCACCCTGATCATCAAGGCATGATGGATTCTGCCGAAATCAGTCTTCATCCCTCCATTCCTAACGTTATATATGCCAGCAATCGCTGGGAGAGGCACATCGCGCAGCGTGAACCATACCTCCGCAGTGTGCCTCGCGATCTACCTCCGGGAGATGCGATCGCTATTATCCTGCTCTCCGAGGACGGCCGGAAGGTCAACGACATCAAGCACGTACGGACAGGCGTTGATGTCATCCGTGGCATGCGGCTCAGTGACGACGGCAGGTATGCCGTTGTAGTCGGACAAGAAGGGGGTGGCGTGGAGGTCTATGAAATCAACGGGGAAAAGGGGGACAAGTGGACTTTGATGGCTGCCCTGAAGG